GGGGGGGGCAGATACAGACCCCAATGCTAATGATGTTATGTTGACACAATGACTTTTCTTGTTCTGTGCGTCGTCCCTTGTCTTGTCCTCCTGGTGTCGTTGATGAAGATGGTGCCCGTTCCGTTCCATTCCATGTCGTGCGGTGATAGGTGATGAGGGCCGAACCGAAGCACGGACAACCCCTTGCGTAGCGGCAGCGTTAGCGGTAACAGCAACAGCAACAGCAACAGCAACAGCAACAGCAACAGCAACATGCATGAGATGTCGATGTCGATGTCGATGTCGAAGACGACGCTGTGTACATCATGACCCACACCAGAAGAGGACGACGTGGATCCCTGGATCGGGAGGTAGATGTGCACAGCGGTCGGTCCAGCGGCTTTTCAACATCATCATGGATCGCACAGGTCGAGAGGAACCGTGTCTAACGTCCGTGGTGCGCTCGTGGGGTGATAAGGTCCCTTTTTTGATATCGAACATGAACTTGAGGTTGGTCATGGTGTTGGTCATGGTGTTGGCGATGGTGATGGACACGGAGGGAGATAGCCTCGCAATGGCTACGCAGGAGGACGGCGGCAGGCGAGCAGAAGGCAGAGTCGTCTGATACAACCGGCTCAGACTGGTGGAGGGAGGTAAAAGAAGAAAGGAAGGAAAAGAGGAAGGAAGAAAGAAAGAAAGAAGAGAGATACAGAAGAGGGAGCGAGCGAGCGCATTGGTCGTGATACGGCGAAGAGCGGTAGGGGTGGATGTGAAGGTAAAATGAAAATGAAAATGGCAATGATACAAAAGATGAATGCACTATTGTTGTCGCTGGTTGGTGAATCACACCCGTCCTCTGAAGGTATGTTACAGACAGTACTTGTATATCTTGGTAGAAAATACATCTTCCTCTTCTCTTCTCTAGAGGGACTGAATTATGATAACGGGTGGCCTTGAATGATTCCGTTCCTTTTCCCGGCACCCCCTGTTCGTGTTCCTGGTTGTTTCCAGAAACCAGGTCTCTATCAAAGGGGACAGGCAGTATCACCACGAGAACTCGTCCGATCCAGGCCCGAAACCTCAACGATGGCCGACTTGTTGTGGCTCCACGGGCCGGAACCACTCCAGCGTGCCCACGTAGCCGCCACTGCGGAGGTACGGGAGACAGCCCATCCAAAGATCCTCGAGCACGCCGTTGCCGAAGTTTAGGGTCAGGCGCGCCCAGGCGTCCATGTCGACGCGGGCGATCCAGGCCAGAAAGGCCATGAGGATGAAGTCGGCGTAGGTCGGAGAAGACGTGCCGGAGAGGTAGCGCACACGGTCGCTGGGACCGTGGGCAGCGCTCGCGTCGGAATTCCAGTCCAGGGCGTCGTGCAGCTCGGGACCTTTCACCTGGGGGCAGTCCTGCAGTGCGCGCAAGATGGGGTCGAGTTCTGCTTCAATGTTGGCCCACAGCCGATCCATCTCTTCTTGGGTCTTGGGCCGGAGCTCGTCCAGCGACGACACCTCAAACCATTCGCTGCGTGTTCGGATAAAGTACTCTCTCCCTCTGTCGTCGAGAATGTCCGGCACCGAAGGGATAATCAGCCGGCGTGTCGCGGGGAGGATGCGAGTGATGATGCCCTGGACTTCTCGCGTCTGTTCCAAGGACTGTTGATCAGGGAACAATGGAGGATGTCTCTCAGGGTCGCGGAAGAGCACTTCGAGCGCCATGGCGATGCTCAGCGACGAGACCACCGGCGTGAATATGCCGTACCTCGTCTGCACCGTTTCGTGGACTCCGGGGACTTTTGCATCATGTAGCCCTTTCAAGGCGTCTGGACCAAAGCCGTCGGCGTCGATGAGGAGGATGGGTAATGTACAAGTCGGCGAGGTCCGCCGTTGATTTCCCGAGACATCCTTCCGTGGCGGGATCTTTAATTCCTGCCACAGCGGCTCGATGTCCGGAAACGAGATCCAGGATTCTGTGTACGGGAGGCCCTTGTAGTGCAGGGCCAGCCGTGAGCGGATCGTGTTTGGGGAGAATGAGTTTTGGGCGCGTAGGAACGAGTTGGACGAATGAACCCGGTGGATGGAGAAGGGCGATTGATTGCTCGCGATGTCGAACAGGAGAAGACGCTTCTGGGAGGCTGTTGTTGCATCCTCACCCGTCCAGAGGGATCGAGCCTTTGAGCGTGTGCCGACCAGCCTGGCATCCAACCTCTTGGGGAGGAGAGAAACAGGTCGGAACATGCGTGGGCTCTTTTTTATGCTGATCCACCCTCTCTTCTTCAAGATGTCTGGGAGAGGTGTCCTCGCTCAAATGGTCGATTTGGCTCTCAGGCCCGAAGTGTGAGGGTTTGAGATGTGTATTCGGCTCACTGACGCAAATGGGATCCTTCGTCCTTCATGTATTGTATGTGTCTTCCGTGTTTGTTCTCAGGTGACGAATTATAAATTGGCCCTCGGTCAGAAACTCCGTCGTCTTGTCGACAAGAACAGATGAGCCCTTATGGTCGGCTTCGACGCGCCATCCATGGAAGCCTCGACGTCCCTGATTATTGTTTGGACAGTCGAGTTCGCGTACGCCACTCTGACTGGCCTGGAAGACGAATAGGTAGAGCAAGGAAATTTCTCTCTCGTGACAGGGGTTTTCAAGCTGGTTTCAAGCACTGAATAATCGTACGCTTTGCAGACGGAGCTCAGACAGTGGTGATCACACGGCGAATCCAGGTAGATCGCGTAAGTGAAAAGCAACGAGCGACTGGACAATGTTCACAGCTGGGAATGAAACTCTGGGTGGTGAGATGTGATGAGGTGATGCGAGCTGAGGTTCCAGGATTATTGCTACGAAAATGGTCCGTCTGACATGACATTTTACAGCATTACAGCTCACATTTCAACCCCAATATAGCGGATATGGTTATCGTCAGACATGGAAATTAGTACGACTCGAACAGGTCCAGTTTGGTGCGACCGTCTCTCATCATCCAAGTCCTATAATCTATCCAATCGAACCGGCAAAGGAGAGTCCAAAAAACCGGGCAGCATCACAGAACACAATGTTCCATATGTCCAACGTTCCCGAGCCGAATCAACCACCCTCGACCAGCCACTTCTTCAAGAATTCAGTCTGAGTTCCAGCATTCCTTTCGAAATATGGTCCGGAATACGCTTCAAAGTGTCCACAAGGTAACAATTGCAGTTGTTTGGGCTCTTTTGCGCGGGCAAATGCCCCGAGTGCAAGGTCTGCTGGTGTAAGCACGTCCCCTCTTGCAACCGTCATTAGGAGCGGCGTCGGCGAGATCTTGTCAATGAGTTGCTGCGGCTCATAAGCGCGGAAGAGCTCGACTCTAAGGGGGAGAGTGAGTAACTTAAAGGCGGCAAGAAGAGCAGGTGGCGGATTCTAGACTCACGTCTTGACAGTGCAGGTATTCTTCCACTGGGACTTCTTCTCCCAGGCGGTAAAGAATTCGTAGCTGTCTGGTGTTGGCAGTGCAGATGGCTTCAGAGGATCAGCATCCACTACAGGAACCATCCCAGGCTCCTTTCCTTCGGCTCGTGCAATTCTGTCTGCGAGGGTGTCAGAATGTATCGGCTGATCGACATGTGTCAAGGTCCCAAAATAACAGACCTGCAGCAAAGGTCGCATTGAATCCGACCGCAAAATCTGGACGCACAAGACGATTGAAGTTGTCCCATCCACTGACGCAAGGGACCTGGCTGAGCACGGCTTTGACTCTTCGATCCACAGCCCCGACGTATAGCACGTGGCCGCCACTGTATGACGAACCCCAGATTCCAATCTTGTCCGGGTCAACTTCAGGCCTTGTCGAAGCATAGGTGATGGCGTCGGAGATGTCGCTACATTGAGTCATGGGGATGATCTCACTCCTCGGCTCCCCTTCGGCCGTATCGCTGTCACCAAAGCCGCGATTGTCGTAGACGAGGCAGGTGATGGGCAGTTTGGACACAAAGTATTCAGCGAAAGCGTCCAGGTCCATTTCCTTGAGGGCCGTGAAGCCGTGGGACATGACGAGGCATGGTGCTTTCCCGGCAGCCGAGTCGCTGGTGTAGAACCATCCTCTCAATGTGACCCGATCCGAGGTCTTGAACTCGACGTTTTCTCTGCCCATTTCGAGAATAGGTCCCAGAAGCAAGTCAGGATCCTATAACCACATGTCAAAATTGGAGTGTTGCACAAAGATCAGTCGAAGCACCGAGGGAGGTGGACGAAGGATCGATCTTTATGCCGGATCCCTGGGAGGAGAAGATGTGCCGAATAGGCGAAGAACGAGAGACCCCTGGGCCGCTCGAACTAGAGCTCAGCTGCCGCTATTCTTTTGTAAGAAGGTGACCATCACGGTCAGAAGGAAAATGGAGGAAAGACGTTTCCGATCACCTTAGCAAACAGCAAACTGATAGACTGCCCGCATTGGTGACCTTTCATCTAACCCCGCATGGGCCATTACGATGATGAGATGTTTTGAGTTTGCAACATCTGGATCCCCTTGGGAGTTGAGGACTCCTCGCGTAACAAGTTTTAGCCCATGTGTGTTGGCCGACAGCTCTGCGGGACCGCTCGAGAACGGGAAACAAGATCTAAGGCATTGCCTGGAGGGATGCGCCCGGCAGCGCTGGGAGGAACATGGTTGGAGCTGGAGCTACAGGCAAATGGAGTGTTCGATCGGTACCGCTCAGCAGGGTGATGGATTGTATTTCTCCTTTGCTCGTCTGCAATGGGCAAATCGGGCAAGGAAGGAGCCGGCCATTCTTCAGGCGGAGGGACCGAGGCTAGGTGCCACCACGACGTTTTGGAAAACCTGCATAAGTGTAACTCGAACAGGGAGCTTGGATGGCTTGTCTAGTTAGAGTGGCTTGCATGGCGCCAATGCATCGACCTGCCCCGTAGGCTCGCTGGCCCTTGTGTGTGTGTGTTTGTGGACTCTGGCTGCATCTTCTTGACGACTTGGCAGATTGTTAAGGGCCGAAAGGACAGGGAATATGAGTCGTGTATCTTGTCGTAAGAACGAGAGATTTTGATGTCTTTGGGCTGGACAATAGACCATTCGCCCGGGTCAGTCAATCTTTGGTACCGAGGTGGAGGTGAAAGTAAAAAGCAAAGGTGGATGGAGATGGGCGCAGGCGGGAGCAGGCAGAGCGAGACCGAGCGAGTCAGTTCAACAGTCCTTGGAGATAGTTAGCTGCATTCCAAAGGTAAAGACTGCATCTCTATTACTCCTACTCCATGCATACTTCTTCCCTGTGATGACGGACGGCCTGAAGGCCCAGTTGAAATGCCTTGCTGCGTGCATGATGCCTGGTACTCAGTGGTTTCTTCGACCTCGATAAACCCAAGCCACCGCCGCCGCCCGCAGCCTCGAGGCGCAGCCCCTTTTATGACCTGCTCACCACACACAGCCTTGCCAGTTGCTCCCGACAGACAAACAGTTTGCTAGAGTGAAAATATCTCCATTATGTTTGAGCCTAGTCGAGTGTCTATTGCTTGTGCCAGTCAAGCTCCGTCTCAAACATGTCGTACCTTTGCCTCA